AATAAAAATCACAGCTGCATTAGGAAAAGTATACTCCTTTTTCTCYCGAATATTTCTGCCCAGATATCTGACCAAATGAAGCAGCCGCTGGCATTACTAAACCTGTCCCCCATTTTCAGGTTCACCAGAGCAGAGAGCACTTCAGGAGATMCCAGGCTTTACAGGCTGCTCCAAAACGGAGGGAAGCGACAGGGGTGTGTATTTACCAYTGAAATACAGTAATGACATAATTAGTCTAAAAAGAGGGACTATAATCCAGCTGTTCCAYCATGATACATTATTGATAGGAAAGGGGATGCATGCCTTTGAACTACTTCAAAAGTTTAGACCAAAAGGTAACAGACTCAATTTCTAAACATATTGCAAAATATTCCTGAATTTTATAACAAGTGAAGAAAATTTTGCAATGTATTTCACATCTATGATTATTTTTTTCTGAGGGCAGTAGTAAAGCATTACAAATTACACTCCTGTTCATTTCATTGCAGAATTGCCTRTACTGCACAAAGATCTTTCCTATCGCTTTCTGCCACGGATCAGTGCRAATTGTGTCTTTTCACTGCAATTATTTTGTCCACTGTTCCAGTGACTGCAGCAGCGAAGCAAAATGTCTCCCCAAATGCTGGAACACATTCCAGCGCGGCTGCCGCCAGCACGGAGCAGCGGGTGGCCGGTGGCACCGGGACCGCGGGGCCAGCACGGCCACTGGCTGACGTCACCCTGGAACAACAGCCACATTTCCTCACAGCTTTGGGGTCTGCTCCGAGACGCCGCCAAAGTCTGATCGTTCGGAGCATTTCTGACGGGGCTGCTGAGACCGATGGTGCAGGGCTGGCGGGATTTTCAGAAAAAACGCCAGAGTATTTCAGTGACTTTGAAAAGCATTTTTAGYGGATGACATAACTTGAATCATTACTCCATGTCCTGGGTATGTGCTAGGCTACCCCTATCTCTAGGTTTCACCTGGTTTCTGTGCTGTTTGCTGGTGAYCCGCACACGAGGAGCGGTGCCCGCTCGGCGCAGGGCGAGGGCAGCCGGAGGGAGCCCCAAATCCACACGGTTCCGTGAGTTCACAGAGCTGCACCCGGGAGCGGAACAGCTCCTCCGTTAAAAATAAAACAGCACAACTGGAAACACATCAAATCCTGCCGTTAGCACACCGCTGCTCCCCACAATGCACGCAGCACAGTCCGTGAGCTTTGGTCCCTCCTGCCCGGCTCCCACCGCATTCCACACCAGCGCTCTGCGAGAAATAACAGCCACAAAMACAGGACACACTCACTGGTGGAAGCTTTTGTTGTATTTTGAATCGAAAATGCAACTGAACTGGGAAACATCAGCCTCGGTGCTACACTTGAGTGAAAGCATTCCCAAAATCTGGAGAGGGAAAGCCTTCCCCATGGCTTCATGGGGTTTTCTTTCCTTCCTGCGAGGAACGTGTTGCTCCGTGCTGACTGCACAGCAAAACCGAGCCCAGGCACCGACAAGARAGGACTCCAAGATGAACAGAAATACATGGTCGGTCTTTTTTTTAATAGCATCAAAAAGTGCTGCTAAAACAATACCTGACACATCTAAAAGAACAAAAGCCTGAGTATTTCTCTTTCTCACCCTAAGCAAAACTTACAGACTGCCTTAATGAAAAACTACGAAATAGCAATTGTGGGTGTTTGCTACCTGATCCTTTGAATAAAAATGTCTTTTGCAGCCTTTATTTCCAATACTAGAACAGGAATACAGGTATTTCTGTATTTCTATRAATTATATGCACTGCTCACATATTAAATACGTAACCTGGAACAGTTATTTTTCATAACGTATCTTTTTTTTTTTTTCTATCAGCAATAACTAGGGCAAATTGTTATATAACACTGGGCAGTGAGAGAAAAACAAACCAGAAAAAGTACAATCACAAAAAAAGGGGAAATACACAAATGGGAAAGAAATGTAGTATTTATAAATACTAATGTTTTGTAGCAGGAAGCACTGTTATGASTGCAGTACAGTAAGTAAATTCATTTAGGCAAAGAACCAAAATACAGCTACCATAAGCCTTCCATTTTTGAAAAACATTTATTCTGAAGGTTTCAGTTTGTCAGAAAAAAACCCCTTCTTTTAAAGATCAAAAACACAGTGTAAGTGTAAGGTTCCAAATGTGCAGCAATTTGGCAATATTCTAATTAAAATCATAGRGATTCTGTTTGTCTTGGGCTTGTGAAAGCCAGCCTTCCCTGGTGCCACTGCTCTGGGTTTTTTTCCTTAAAAATCTTGCCATCAAATGCACCTGACTYTCAAAATCCTRCATTTTAGCAAAATAAGTACTTTGYATTAACTCAAAACATCAGGATGTACTCATGCAAGAATGCACTGAATTCCTTCTTTTAAAAGAGATCAAAATACATGCCCAGCTTGTCCCACTGGTCCCACTGATGTACTGATGATATTTTTTGATAAATTATATTTATCAGGCACCTCTGAGTACTTCAGACTGGGCTTGGGCTACTAATCCACCTCCCCCAGGACTCATTGTAACATTCCAAGCATAGAGGTAGCTTCACAAAGCCAACATTTTTCTTAAAAAAATTAAAAGAAAAAAAAAAAAAAGAGAGAAAAGCTGTTTTCACCCTTCCCCCTAATTTGAAATGCCCTGGTCTAAGGATGGGCAGCAATCATTCCTGACCCAGGGAAAGGTGTAAGGTCTGATATCTGACCCATCAGAAGCTTGCTTTCATTAGAAAGATGAGACACCATTTTCCCAAAGATATATACACAGTACTTGATTATAGTCCTGGGAGTTCTGGAGAAATCTGACCTTTAAAATTACATTACTACACACAGAAAAATCTATTTAAGGCAAATTTCAGGAACTGAGATATTTAAGTAAACTTTATTCTCCCTTTTTTAATTTTTCCCAGATATCTGTAAATAGGACTGAGGATAACAAAAAGCATCTGATATTACTGATCCCTGTCTTCCTCCACAGCGATTCCATTCCATCTCACTAGCCCAAGGCAGGCTCACTGAGCACACAGGCATTTCCCATCCCGATGTTCCAGCAGCAGCAGCAGCTCTGTCCTCTTGCTGGAGCTGCCTCATGGCTCCAGTCCCCACMATCTGATAACAGAACTGACCCTCTGTCCTGCACAGCCCAGGGCCACTTGCACGGACASACAGCTATTTTTATCCTCTAGCTACCACAAACGAACATTTCTCCAAGTCTGAAAGGGCACACAATCCGTGTCAGCACAGTTTCACATGTTTGCTCTTTTGGGCTAATAAAATCTCAGAGAAAACAAATTTTGATTTAGTGTGTTTCCCCTCCCCTTGCCGTGAGCCGCTGTCAGTCCTCGGGGGCACACACAGCAGGGCACCATGTCATGTCACACTAGGTGCTGCGAYTCAACAAAGGCCAACATGTTGATATCTTTTTATTGCTCGGCAGCCTGGTTACCCCATTTTCCCCCTGTACAATTGGACGCTTTKGATAAAATGGAAAGTTCTGAAGCAGTAACATTTCTATTTTCAGTCAGAAAAGTATTTTTGTTTTTACAAAGCAATAGTGTCTGATCTTGCTTTTTAGGTCACTAAGTATAATCCTTTATTTTACAGAAACTAAAGTTAAGAATTTAGAGGTACATTTGTTTGCAATTAATGTAAATATTTACGTTGCCAAATAATGTTTTTTTTAGGTAGTCTGAAGACTATTCTACATTCTTTACTAATTAACAAAAATACGTAAGGTGTTACTACCGACAGAAACAGAAGTTTCACTGATCTACATCTACAGCTACCACAGGATGGTTTGTTTTGTGTAGAAATAAAAGGCAAAGCCCGWGGATGGGCTCCCTGCACCAGGCACMAAAAATCCCTAAAGGTGCAGCAGTCCCAGCCCCACGATGGCGGGGTGGCAGCAGCCCCCAGGCAAGCCTTGGGTTATTCCCAKGCACAGAGCCCGGGCCGGGGAGGACTCTCTGGGAGCTAGTGAGGGCTGCAGCATGAAATAACATGTTTTGATGTAATTCCTAAASAGGGGGACATTTATCTGGGCCATTTATACAAGAGTTATAACCCTCACAATATTTATACTCAGCATGTCATGTTAGCATTTACTACCCGTTTCCATGGAGATGGATTTTCATGCTGTAACTATGAAATGCACATTGTTGCCACTAAGCCACTTCAGGCCTTTCTGGATGCCTGCTGAATGCCTGACAAAAGTTGATGCAAACCAATAGTTGTTGTTCTTTGTTTGTTGCCAGACTTCTAGCAGAGCCATATTATGTCCCAGTGATTGAAATGCCCATGTTCGCCCCCCTCCCGGCACAAAAAGGATCCTCAATTTAGGTGACAAGCATGAAGTGGGCTTCTGCAGGGGAGGGCGGCCCGGCGCGGGGCCGGGTTCCGTCCCTGTGCGGGGCCGCGACGCGGCGGGGGCCGCTCYCGACAGCGCCTGACATTTGGGGATAAAGCCGGAATAAGAGAGAGCGCGGCCAGCGCCGGGGCCGGGGCCGAGCTCAGCTCCGGGCTCTCCCAAGGCTGCGCCGCTCCCTCGGCCGGGCCGCTCCCCGCACCGGGCCGGTACCGACAGCCCCGCCGAGCCCCGGCCCCGCCGCCGGGCGTGCACCGGCCGTTCTGCGGGCCAGGAGCTGGAGCTGCCTCGGGCCTCTCGGAGCGGCTCGGGATTTGCAGCGGGCGGATAGAGCCGCGGGACGCTCCGAGCGCCGCGCTGCCCGCGCACCCCGAACCGGGCCGGGCCGCCCCATCCCCGTCCGCTCCGACGGCGCCGCAGGGTACGGGACAGCGRCGGGCCCACGGCTCGGTGTGTTCGGTGCGGTTGTGCCCGCAGCACCGGGATCCCCGCTCGCCCCGGTAACGGGCTGCCCCGGCYGCTGAGCTCGGGGTGCGGCCCGAAGGGAGAGCCCGCTCGGTCAGAGCCCGCAGCGCCCCCGGGCCGGGCCGGGCCGCCCCGGCGGGACCCCCGCCAGCCCCCGCGCCCTTACTGTTGGTAGTCCTGCTTGCAGTAGAGTTTGCGGTCCCGGAAGTAGCAGCTGGTGGTGAGCGCCTGCTGGCACGCGGCGCACTGTAGGCACTCCTCATGCCAGGAGGACTCGTTCACCCGCATCAGGAACCGGTCCGAGATGGGCCGCTGGCAGCCCTCGCAGACGGCCTGGTGCTGGCACTCCGACCCTGCAACGGCAGACGGCGGCATCAGGAGCCGGCCCTGGCCCCGGCCCGGCCGCGCTCCCAGCCCCGACACGACCCGGCCCCGCTCCCCAGTCCCCGTCCCGGGCAGCGCAGTCCAAGCCCGACGGCTCCCGCCGGTCCCGCACGTTCCGGTGAATCAGTCCCGCACCCCGCAGCGCTCCGGGSCTGAGCGGCCACAGCCCGCCCGGCCGTGCCCCTCGGAAGCGCAACCCCGGGCACCGAGCGGTGCGCGGGGCCACTTTCGGCGTAGTCGAGAAGCAACCGGCAACTCACCCAGCAGCACTCCCAGCGTGGCCGGCCCCGAGCGCAGGGGGTGGTCTTCCATTTTAATGCCGTCCAGCATCTTGGCGCAGTCCGGTGGGCCCCGCGGGAAGCACCTCTCCAAGGACTCGGGACCCGCCGCGATGTCCATGAGCGGCGGATCAGGCCGGCGCTCCGGGCGGCGGGGAGAGGCGCTGCCGGGTGGCGGGGCCAGCTCAGCCCCGCGTCGGGCCGGGCGCGGGGACACTCTGCGGCCGGGAGGAAGGAATCGCTTTTATTTTTATCTGGGAGACATGAGGAGCGTTTCCTGCCCGGGCTTCCAGAGACGGGGGGCAGAGGCAGGAGCCGGCGCCGCCGCCCATGGGGCCGCCCCGCTACACGGGCGCGCACATGCCGCGCACACGGCGCCGGGCAGCCGCGGTGTCACCTGCTCGCTGGCAGCGCCGGACCCACGCCCTGCTCGGCGGAGCGCAGGCCGGGCGGGGCACGGGGCTCCCGGCGCTCCCAGCCCCTGAGCCGTGCAGCGGCCCGAGGAGCCGCGCCGTTTAGAGCAGGGGCCGCGGCGGAGGAACACACCCCCCGGCGCCTCACCCCTCCTCAAACTTGCTGACATTTGAACTCCATTGGTGCGCGGCGTATCGCTGCGCCGCGGTGATCCGTCTCCTCGACGTCAAATAGTGCCCCGGCCCCGCCGGGCCCCCGCGGCCCCTCCAGCGCGGCGGCGCCCGGGGCTCGGGGCTCGGGGCTCGGGGCTCGGGGCTCGGGGCTCGGGGGCACACCCGGGGCGGCCGGGCGGTGCGGGCAGCGCGGGCCGGGGAGGGGGACAACGATCTTGGCTGCTGAGGGTGGCGGATGAGCGGGGCCCGAGCTGCTCCTCTCCCCGGGTCGGAGCCCCGCGCCGCTCCTGGCCCGACGGCGGTTCTTGGTCCTGCCCTGGCCGGGGTAGGTAGCGGCGCGCGTCCAGCCCCGGGCCGCGGGCAGGTGGCGACAGGAGCCGCCCTCGGGGCGCCCGGGACCGGCGGGGACGCGGCTCAGTCCCGCGGACGGCGGGGGCGCGACCCGGACCCGGCGGGCACGGGGGACGGGGCACCGGGGACTGCGCCGCGCACGCCCTTTTTTGAAAGGCGGCTCCGAACCGTCACGCCGAGGCTGCCAGCGGGAAAGCGCAGACGGAGCAGCGGCCCGAGGGCTGCGGGTGCTTCTGCCCGCTCCCGCAGCAGCGCTGCCCGCTCCGGTTGATCGCTAACGCTTTTGAACGCGCAGGGGCTCGGTGCAGTGTGCCGCGCGTGTGCGGGACAGCCTTGTCCAAAATCACGGCGCCGGGATTCCCTCTGCGGAAAAAAAAAGCGACGGGAAAAGCGATCCCGCATGGAGCGCCGGACTCCGCTCCGCCGGCTCACCTTCGTGGTTTTTTTGTTTGTTCGTTTTTATCTTTATTTACTTTTTTCCCCCCGATACCGTTAAAAATCTAAATCTGAGAAAATGAAAATGGATTCCTTGAGGAGATTCTTAATGTGCCCGTGGTATGCCGTGACACTGCCGAAAGAAGGAGGATATTTTGTAATGTTCCCAAAATATTGATACTTAATAGCCAAGACAAGTGTTAACTTAAATTACTTAATGCTTCTGTTTTGTGGGTCTTAAGATAAAACCTCTTTTATGACGTTTTCGTACGAAAAAAATCATTGAAAGAAATTCGTCACTGTGTTTTAGTTAAATAGTTTGGAAAATATTTTCAGTAATAGAGCTTATATGGTTTTTTATTCTAGACAGTAGAACTCTGAAAATCTTTTCCGTTAATGCTGAAAAAATAATATATGATTATTTAATTCTGAGATCGAGATWAAGGCTGCTAAGATTTCATAGTTCAGTCAGCGGTGAAAAAGCTGCTCGTTCACATTAATTTTTTATGTCCCCTTCCTATTTTCGCATAAGGATTCGAAGYTCTCCATCATACAGGGCTTCCATCGAATTATCTTCTACAATTGTGAGGAAAATTAAAGCCCTTGTTTCCGCTGAGGAATAAATTCTAGTTCTAAAAGAACGAAAAAAATCTCCTCAAAACCCAACGAAAAGGCAACGCTAAGCGGCGGGACCGGGAAGCAGAGASAGAACCCCTAGCCCTGCACCCACAGCAGTAATTCCAGCTTTGTTCGTGGGCTTTTACTCGCAAATATCACGCTAAAGGTTTGTTGTTTCTCTCCGTGTGTGTGTGTGTACGAACACTGCGCCGGGTAATTGTTATCCCCGCTCCTGCCCCGAGAACAATTCGATGGGGTGTTATATAGGTTTATATAATGCTTTTAACGAAAAACGAAATGCAATTAAAACACCCACGCGCAAAACCATCACAGAAATAAACCCAAACCAGACTAAGCAGCCCCACCTCCCAGCGGCTTCCTTCGAATTCTCCTTTTATTTGCAAGGCAAATCTCTTTATTTTGAGTTAATTTTGAGAGTCGAACAAGAAATGCAGCGGGTCCCGATCCTTCCCAAATGAGGCAAGAGGAAGGAAACATCGGGATAACTAACAGGGACCGAGCCCTCTGCACCGACTCCCGCACGG